GATTAAGAGAGTTGGATCCACATTATATGAATTTTAAATCAAAAGCAGTTAGTTGAACTAGGAAAACTAAGAATTTAATGATCTTTTTATTTTTATGTATTTTCTTAATCAAAAGTTCTTTAGCTTTTTCATACCTTACAGAAGAATAGTCTTTTATGTTAAAATTATGCTCTCGAATGTTTTACAAAATTGTTGAAATATACGTCATGCTATTGATCCCCCCTAGAGGATCCTTTGTCTTATCAATATATTTTTCATAAATCCATTAAGTATAAGGTTTTTAAAGAAAACTCACAACATCTGATATGTTTTCTTTTTTTAACATCTTTACAATCACACTGAATATTTATTCATCAATTTCTTTAACAGAACTCAGGATATCTAACAATTCTGTTTATTGACTACAACTTTAGATTTATGCTTGCTCTTTATTCATTGATTCGCTTTACTTTTTGTTTTAAACTTGATAAGTCCAATTCATAAAATATTTTTTTTTAAATAATGAATTTCTATTACTTGTTATAATCAGGTTTATACAACAAAGATATAAAATAGTATAAATTATAATTGACCTGCCTACACCTCTAAAAATCCCATCCTCAACAGCACTCACACTTGCTCCCTGCCACCCACCCTTGACTATCAGCCTATTGATATGGTATAGTTGAATAAAAAAAGATAAGAATCTGCTTATCTTGCTTATTTCATCTAAATTGAGATTAATGAATTATAAGAAAAAAGAAACGAATGGATTAATCCCAACTACACGATGCTAATGTAGCATTATCAGAAGAAAAACAAATTGAAGTAACTGCTTTTGAATGACCATCCAATTTAGCTTTTTATTATCCTGTTTTAAGATCCCATAAAATTATAGACTTATCTCCACTCCCAGATGCTAAAGTAGTACCATCAGGAGAGAAACAGACTGACATGACTATATTAGTATGACCATCTAATTTTTCTTTTTATTATCCTGTTTTAACATCCCATAAAAGTATAGACTTATTTCCACTACAAGATGCCAAAGTAGTACCATTAGGAGAGAAACAAACAAGCATGACTGATTAGGAATGACCATCCTATTTGTTTTTTTATTATTCTGTTTTAAGATCCCATAAACGTATAGACGTATCTCCACTACCAGATGCTAATGTAGTACCATCAGGAGAGAAGCAGACTGACATGACTATATTTGTATGACCATTTAATTTAGCTTTTTATTATCCTGTTATAACATCCCATAATCGAATAGACTTATTTCTACTACCTGATGCTAAAGTATTACCATCAGGAGAGAAACAGACTGATTGAACTCCATTTTAATGACCATCAAATTAGGTTTTTTATTAACCAGTTTTAGCATCCCATAAACGGATTGAATTATCCAAACTACCAGATGCTAAAGTACTACCATCAGGAGAGAAACAGACTGATTGAACTCCATTTTAATGACCATCAAATTAGGTTCTTTATTAACCTGTTTTGACATCCCATAAATAAATTGAGTTATCTAAACTACCAGATGCTAATGTAATACCATCTGGAGAGAAACAAATTGAAGTGACTGGTTTTGAATGACCATCTAATTTGGCTTTTTATTATCCTGTTTTCACATTCCATAAACATATAGAGTTGATTCCTTTCTAAAAATGAATAGTTTAATCAGGATTTTATTAAACAGCATCCTAAGATGATGCTAAAATACTACCATCAGGAGAGAAACAGACATAGTAGACTGTAGATGAATGACCTTTCAATTTGCTTTTATTTATACCTGTTTTAACATCCCATAAACATATAGACTAATCTTAACTACCTGATGCCAAGGTACTACCATCAGGGGAAAAACAGATTGAATGAATTCCATTATAATGACCATCAAATTAGGCTTTTTATTATCCTGTTTTAACATCCCATAAACGTATAGACTTATCATCACTACATGATGCAAGGGTAGTTCCATCAGGGGAGAAACAGACTGAGTTGACTTAATATTCATGACCATCTAATTTTTCTTTTTATTATACTGTTTCAAGATCCCATAAACGTATAGACTTATCTCCACTACCAGATGCCAAAGTACTACAATCGGAGGAAAAGCAGACTGAATGAATTCCATTATAATGACCATCAAATTAGGCTTTTTATTAACCTGTTTTAACATCCCATAAACGGATTGAGTTATCAAAACTACTAGATGCTAAAGTACTACCATCAGAAGAGAAACAGACTGATTGAACTCCATTTTAATGACCATCAAATTAGGTTTTTTATTAACC